CCCATGTTCTCACTCCACAAACAGTGCTAATTTAACACTGGGGAATACAAATTCTTAACACCACTTATGGTGTTATCTTAACACCAAGAATTTAGCACCAGAAACCGGTGTTATTTTAACACCACCTGTCCTTAAGTGGGTGTTATTTTAACACCTCTAAAGTGGTGTTAAACAATTTGAGTGTTAAATTAACACTTTGCAAAATATTTTTATTTATGTCGTGTTAAATTAGCACCGAAAAAGGCTGCTAAAATAACACCTTTGTTTAACACCACCAGTTGGTGTTAATCTAATACCACCCGAGGTGTTATTTTAACACCCTGAAATTAACAGTGCAAAGGTCTGGCCGCCAATGCAATTCAAAACGCGTGGTTCACAGCGTCAATGCTTTAGAATTAGTTCGCCTGTAACCTCAAAGATGTGATAAACGTCGACAGGAATAAGGTGAGTCATTATAATACTGCGAGAATTATAGTGATTGTTGTCTGCGATTGTCGTATTTATAATACGACCGCCATTATGCTGAGGCTATTCTCATTGCCATTGCAGTCTCAGTTAAGAAAACTTGCGCGCGTTTTGATTTACAAGTACTGTAGTTTTGTCTGATTTATCTTGCGTTTACTGCTTTCATTTCAATTATAAAGACAAGTATTTTAGAACCTGAGATGGAAAATCGGGAAATGGATGTTAAATGCCCAACCTCAACTATATCATATACATATAGGAATGCAAGATTTTGTACATTCTATTCAAATTACGCGCAACAACACAGACCAACAATACTTTATTCATTAAATTTCAATGGCAAACCGAAACGGTAATGTTTTATATTGATTACTGAACGATAGAATTTATTTTATTAATACTGTCTGTGAGATGAGATACAGTATATACTACACAGCTGGACCTGAGCTGGTGTTTCATGAATATTTTTGCCAACTCGAATTTTATATTTGATTTTTAACCATTAATTTAAGCTGCAATGTTCCCAAATATACCTTATTTTATTGTTTTATTCTGGCTAACGCAGACAATTTTTATCTAATTTGCCAAGGGGATCTTATACCGTAAACCTCCGACTATAAGCCCTGGGCTTATATACTTTCGTAAGCGATTTTTGATGGGCTTATACAAGGGGGGGGGGGTTATATACGCGGGGGGCTAATACATGGATGATCTTTTGTGTTAGTAATAAACAAATCAGACATAACCAAGTCAGTCATAAACAGGAAAATAAACATCCATTAATAACGTGCTTTGATTAACATAACATATAGTCGGCTATAAAGACAATGACAATGTTTTTAAATATCGTTCTCTGCTATATTAAAAGACAATGAAAATGTTGAATAACGTAGTGGGCTACTGGGCTTATATTCGGGGGACTTATATTTGGGGGGCTTATATTTGGGTGTGCTTATGTTCGGGGGGGGGGGCTTATATTTGGAATGAATTGAGCATTAGTATATGTGGTGGGCTTATATTCCGGGGGGCTTATATTCGGGGGGAGGGCTTATAGTCGAGGGGGGCTTATAGTCGGAGGTTTACGGTATAATGACAGAGATAATTTTACCTATCATTGGGCTATCAATGGGAGAGTCCTGAGTATTAATATTTAAGAGTGAAAATATTGATTATGATATAATGTTCACATTATAAAATCCCCAAACATAATTCTCTTTCTCAACCATGTCAAAAGATACACTAAACCCAATAAGTTCTTATTGCAACAGATTCTCATTTTAAAGTAGAATAATTGCCACATGTAGCACTTGTTAAGGTGAGATAGCACATCTCTTATCCATCCAGGACAAATGACCCATTTGACACAGTTAATTAACACTATAATGGGGGTAATTTTTTTTTCTTAAAATGGCAATGTATCGATATGATTTTTCAATGGCAAATGCAATTGGACTGTACGGGCCAGTCTGTACAAGTGACTAATTATATAGTTAAGCTAGGTGACACTTGCTCGATGGCTTCCCTGTTAGATACTGTACTCCTTTTAAAAAAAAATAAATGCTACAAGTAGTGTTATGGTGAGATCATGGCACATCTCTGATCCGTCCTGGACAAATGACCCATTTGACACGGGTAACATTATAATGAAGTAGTTTTTCATTCTCGAAGTGGCGATGTATTGACATGATTTTTCAATGGCAAAATGGAATTGAACTGTAACAGTGATTAATTATATAGTTAAGGGACACTTGCTCAATGGCTACCCTGTGTTATATACTGTGCATACTCCTTTTGAAGTAATTAAAATTGCTACATGTAATGTTAAGGTGAGATGGCACATCTCTTATCCTATCATTGCATGTGATCAATGCTTATTAGTCTCAACAAAGAGATGGTTTGCGCTCTAGCTAGCTATCTCATTGACAATTAGATAACGAGTAGCGTAAAGCCAATCAGAATACAGCATTTGCATTAGAACTTGACAACATTTAAAATTACTAAATATATATATACTGTATAGACTAATGTGAAAATGAATACTTTTAGGATGACGACCCCATTGTCCATTGGTGAAGAAGTGAGGAAATCAACCTATAGCTATCCTTGAATCTTGGCATCAGGTGACATTGGACCCATTGTACATTGCTACCGTGGGGCAAATTTACTTGCGTTTTGCTGGTAAAAATATTCCACATACTTATTGCTACATTCCATGTTCTAAATATGGAATACACTCCAGGTGTTTCGAGTGTTTATGCATTTCTAGAATTTAGAAGCTGTCACCTTAAACCGCCCTGCTGATGCCGAGAACAAAATTTCTGTACAACAACTTTTAAGTGAGCTTGGACTCGTGAGAAATACTTAGTTCATATAATCGTGATAAATACTTAGTTCATATAAATTCATGCATGTTAAAGGCATTTCTTGTCAGCGTGTAATTTATAATAATAACCAATTTTGAACCTATGTTTATCTTTTGTGTGTGTCTTAATGTGCCTGGTTGAAAGTGTTAAATCAACACGTTAAATCTGATGTTATTTTAGCACCAGATAGGAAGAGGTGTTGCTTTGGCACTGTCAAATCAGGTGTTATTTTAACGACACACTATAGGTGTTAAATCAACTCTTAAAACTGGTGTCACTTTAGCACGTAAAAGTGGTGTTAGTTTAACACTATAAACAGGTGTTAAATTAACCCCCAAAACTAGTGCTAATTTAACACTAAAAATGGGTGTTGTTTTAGCACCATATCTAGTGTTATTTTAACACATTTTTAGTGGTGTTAAAATAGCACCAAAAAGTAGTGTTATTTTTTACCTAATTTTTTAACACCACTTTTTGGTGTTATTTTAACACCCTGAAATTAACAGTTAAATAATATTCGGATAAATATTTTCCTTGCGAAATACCTGTAATCGGCCAGCCCTAGCCTGTAACGGTAGACCAGGCTCAAAACGTGTGTTTATAGACCGTGTTATACTGTAAAAGTGTTTTAGTTTAAGAATATATGTTACTCTAACTGCACAAACAGTTTTAACACCACCAAAAAGTGCTATTTTAACACCCGTGTTCTGTGCTAATTTAACAGCACCGAAAAGGTGCTATTTTAACACTCGTGCTGCGTGCTAATTTAACACCACGAAAAAGGTGTTATTTTAACACCCATGTTCTCACTCCACAAACAGTGCTAATTTAGCAGTAGGGAATACAAATTCTTAACACCACTTATGGTGTTATTTTACACCAAGAATTTAGCACCAGAAACCGGTGTTATTTTAACACCACCTGTCCTTAAGTGGGTGTTATTTTAACACCTCTAAAGTGGTGTTAAACAATTTGAGTGTTAAATTAACACTTTGCAAAATATTTTTATTTATGTCGTGTTAAATTAGCACCGAAAAAGGGTGCTAAAATAACACCTTTGTTTAACACCACCAGTTTGTGTTAATCTAACACCACCCGAGGTGCTATTTTAACACCCTGAAATTAACAGTGTAGTGGTGTTGTTGATCGTTTGTAAGATGTCGTCCGTTTTGTCTTTTTTAACAGTAGCGAATACATCATCAACATACCTGTCCCATGTTTTGATGTCATTGTTATTTGTCACAGCTTTATTTTCCAGGTCTTGCATCACTGTTTCTGCAAGGAAACTGGAAAGAGGTGACCCCATTGGAGTGCCGGAGATTTGTCTGTAGTAATTGTTTTGAAAGTAGAATTCAGTTGAAAGACATAGGTCAAGTAAATCGAGAATGTCTTGTATATTGAGTTGTGTGTGTGATTGCCATGAGGTATTGATAGTAAGAAGTTTTCTGGTTATTTGTCTTGCTGTGTCAAGAAGAATGGAAGAGAATAAGGAAACGACGTCAAAGGAAATCATGATTTCATCAGGTTCAACTCTGAGATCTTTCATTTTCGACAGAAAGGCTTTGGCATCCAGGTGATCTCGTCTTCGTATTTTAGCCAATCAGCGCTCAGAAAGGGTTGTCCGAATAGAAATCCATTTTGATGTATTCAGTCAATATTATATTTCGTTATTCTTTATGAAACTAGTTGAAATTTTGTAATTATGTCTGGTTATGAGAACTATAGCTCTGACAAAAATATGGAGTCGAAATAAAGTATATTACAGGAGATATTCAGTTGTTTTAATCATAAAATGGATTTCTATTTGACAACTAGTGCCAGTACTTTTCCGCGTATCAAGATCATCTGGTTATTGACAGAATGAGGAGATGACTTAATCAGAGGTTTAAGAATGTCAGCGAGATACTTCGATAGGTTGTACGTAGGGGATCCAGGAAGGGATACAATTGGTCGGAGAGGGTTATTCTCTTTATGTATTTTTGGAAGTCCATAGAATTTAGCAATAGTTGCCTCTTTGGGTCTGACTCGATCATAAATTTGTTTGCTTAGTTTGTCTTGGTCTTTGCGGGTTTTAAGTTTCGTGTTAATTCGATTCACTGTAGTTTTACTTGGGTCGGTGTCAAGTGGCTGATAAGTGTTAGTGTCATTAATGAGTGCTTTAGCTTTATTAGTTTAATCTAATTTGTCCATGACAACAGTCATGCGTCCTTTGTCTGCGGGTAGAATAATAACATCTTCATCGTTCTTAATGTCTTTCAATGCTTCGCGTTCTTGTTTGGTGAGGTCGACAGGATGTTTTGAGTGTAAAAGGTTAGTTGTTACTTGATGGCAAACGTTGTTTTTGGCGTCATCTGTTAGTTCAGTACCCTTCAAAGCTGATTCGAGGTCGGCGATAAAATCTAGTTTCTTCGCGTCAGCTGCGTTGTAATTCAATCCTTTGGCTAGTACTTGTTTCTGTTGATCAGTGAGTTGCTTATGGGAGATATTTTTAACCCATGCGTCTGCGTTGTTATGGTTACGTTGGTATGATCTGGAATTGTTGAGTTTTCGTTGTAATTTTGCACGTCTCTTTGATTGATATTCCTGTACTATACTTCTAATGGTATTTTCTAAATTAATTTCCGTCTTCTGTGTTAGTTATGGCAAAAATGGCGCTGCGGTGATCCTTAATTCTTCGTTGATATGTACGCAAACGATTGTGTGTTTCTGTTATTAGTACATTTAACATGCGTCGTCCATTGGCCTGAGCAGTGCGTATAGCTTAAAACCATCAAGGACCAAGACAAACTAAGCAAACAAATTTATGATCGAGTCAGACCCCAAGGACGCAACTATTGCTAAATTCTATGACCAATTGTTTCCGTTCCTGGATCCCCTACGTACAACCTATCGAAGTATCTCGCTAACATTCTCAAACCTCTGATTAAGTCATCTCATCATTCTGTCAATAATGCCGAAGCCTTTCTGTCGAAAATGAAAGATCTCAGAGTTGAACCTGATGAAATCATGATTTCCTTTGACGTCGTTTCCTTATTCACTTCCATTCCTCTTGACTCTGCAGCAAGACAAATAACCAGAAAACTTCTTACTAACCATACCTCATGGCAATCACACACACAACTCAATATACAAGACATTCTCGATTTACTTGACCTATATGTCTTTCAACTGAATTCTGCTTTCAAAACAATTACTACAGACAAATATCCGGCACTCCAATGGGGTCACCTCTTTCCAGTTTTCTTGCTGAAGCAGTGATGCAAGACCTGGAAAATAAAGCTGTGACAAATAACAATGACATCAAAACATGGGACAGGTATGTTGATGATGTATTCGCTACTGTTAAAAAAGACAAAACGGACGATATCTTACAAACGATCAACAACACCACTAAAAACATCAAGTTTACTAAAGAGGAAGAACACGACAATAAAATCGCATTTTTGGACGTATTAATAACAAGAACTGGGGCTTATTGGCTGGTTGGGGTCATATCTGAGTAAGAGGATGCAAGTGACAAGATTTGGTAACGAACTTTCTACAAGCTGCATGATTAATGGGGGAGTTCCCCAAGGTAGTCGTATTGGTCCAATCGCGTTCGTCGTTCACATTAACGGACTGAAGGCAGTGATAAAAGATACCGAGAGTAGTTTGACTAATTCAAGCAATGATGATAATGATGATGGTGATGATGACCTCACTCTTTTCATGGATGATACAACACTGTCAGAGGTTATTAACGTCCGTGATCATGTCTCGGGTACACAAGTTGGGAGTATGAACAATAATATTATGAAAGTTATGGATTTTGCCACGTCTCAAAAAATGGAGTTGAACCTGAAAAAATGTAAGGAAATGCAGTTAGACTTCCGTCAGAACAAAACAGTTATTCCACCACTAACATTCAATGATACAACGTTGGAAAGGGTTTCCACTTTCAAACTATTGGGCTTATGGATTGACGATAATTTAAAGTGGCAAACTAATACTGATTATATAATAGGGAAAGCAGTTAAGCGACTCTTTTTATTAAAAACTTTAAAGAAATACGGTGCTGACAAGACTGATATGAAACGGTTTTACATCTCTGCCATCAGGCTGACACTTGAATATGGAGCGCAAATCTGGCATGGGGGCCTTACTAAAGCACAGAGCAGCAGTATTGAGAAAGTACAAAGAAGGGCTTTGAGAATAATTTATTCCGAAAAAGATTACGAAAAGTTATTGTTGAAAGCTGGAATGCATACGCTTGAACAACGTCGCAATACTATGTGCATTGATCTTATCAGTAAAATGTCTGACCCGCAACACAAACTGCACCATCTTCTTCCTAATAAACTTTGCAAGGTACGGCAAAGGGTTACACGTCAGAATGGTCAATTGTTTTACAATTACCACTACAGAACAGAACGTTTTCGGAACAGTTCAATCGTTTCGTCAATTGAACTCTATAATAACTCTATTTTATAATATAATATATAATATAACTTTATATATTTTTATCGAAACATTTTTAACACGTAGTGATAGTTTTTGGATCAGTCCATTGTTTCGCCAATTGAACCTTTGTTAATAACTCTCTTTTTTTAATATAACTATCCCTATTGAAACTTTTATTATACCTAATTTAGATAATTTAGTAATTAATGTATATTTTCTATATATATGTAATGCGCGTTCTAATTTAGTTACTTATTGTAGCTATTCAATGTGTAATCTTTCTATAATAATAATAATAATAATAATAATAATAATAATAATAATAATAATAATAATAATAATAATAATAATATTTTAAAGCAGACAACTCTGAAATATCACCAAATTCAGCTCACTAAAGATTAATTTCACTTTTGTGCGACCTTTAACTTTAATTTCAACGAATACGGCCAGCTTGATATACGGCTACTACTAAAAAGCGATACAGCGATACAACGATACAGCGATACAGGAACCGGAACCTGGAACCGGAACCCGGAACCGTGCATAATTTATGCAAATTGCACCACAGGAGATATACATAATAATAATTTACAGGGGGGGAGGGCGCAATTCAATGATAATATACAATATTATTGTAGCACTAAATATTACGAAGTAAAACATGTTTCATAATTGCGCGGCGATTCTTTTTGTCTGTTTTGATATGACTGCATGTGAGGCACTTAGTTCATTTAGCCGCCGCACTTGATTATGAAATCCCAGCAGACAGAGAAGGAAACCACGGCACGCAAAGCAGATTGCGCTGAATTCACTAGCAATTGTGCCCTAAAATAATTTGAGTGTAGTGTAGTGTATGACGCAATCCAACTTGTCTTGAATGTGCTATATACGCTGCCGCCGGAATACGCGAATATTGCGAATATGCTTATTTGCTGCGTACTAAAAATATCCGCTTGACTGACATCGATCACAAACATGAATGAAGTTATGAAGGTAACTTCAATGTCAAAAATACATTTAATGATGAAAAATTGAAATGTCTGATTGAAATTCAGCGTCGAAATTTACTTAGCCGTGTCTCTTACCCTATATAATATATAGCACTATCAAGTACCGTTTCCGACATTATAAAAGCAATATCTGACATTGAAGCTGTTAACTTGAAGCGACTTGACATGGCCATGCCAATGTATTTTTTACATTGAAGTTACCTTCTGACATATAAACTTCATTTATGTTTGTGATTGATGTTCAAGCGGATATTTTTAGCATGCAGCATATTTTTTTTTTTTATTAACTTTACAATCATACAAAAAATATAACAATGATTGAAGGTATGGTCAACAGGACATGAGTCCCATGTAAAGACCAACCTGATACAATACAATAAGTAGACATACATTAAAGACAAGGACTAGAACACTTTTTACATAACTATATAAAAATTAATAGTTTAGATTATGAGCAACAGCTTAAGTTGAAAGAACGGATTTAGAGCAGTAGGTTTTCCAAGTGCGCATTCTGTTAACATCGAAAGAAGAGTCTAATTGAGAAGAGTAGTGAGAATGCAGCTGGAACTTAAAGGCTGAAACAGACGAACTGTTACGAATGATTGGAGAGAAATTGTTCCATAGAAAGACAATTCGGTTAAAAAAAGAGTTTTTAAAAAGAGAGGTTTTGCACGGATTGACTTGAAGCGAGTTGTCCTTGCTTGAACGGGTGCGAGATAAGCGATTAGAAGAAAAGGTGACAAAAGAGGAGATATCTAGGTCGTAGAGGCCTTGTTTGCATTGGAAAAAAAAGATGAGATCCTTTATTCCAAGCCAGTAAGATATAGGCAATAAATTAAGTTTCCTAAGACGCTCAAGATAAGACAACTCATAATCTTGAAGTATAAATTTAGTAGCTCGTCACTTATGTTATTTATTTATATTCGCAATATTCGCAATATTCGCAGATTGCATCTTACACTACACTACAAATTAATTTAGTGCACAATTGCTGCCGAATCCAGCGCAATCTGCTTTGCGTGCCGTGATTTCCTTCTCTGTCTGCTGGGATTTCATAATCAAGTGCGGCGGCCAGTAAATAAACTAAGTGCGTCACATGCAGTCATATCAAAACAGACAAGAAGAATGGCCGCGCAATTACGAAACGTGTTTTACTGTGTAGTGCTACAACGATCTTCATCTTTGTTTTGTTTAAAAATCAAAATGCCTTGCATATAATATTGTATTTTATCATTGAATTGCGCCCTCCCGCCCCTGTAAATTATTATTATGTATATCTCCTGTGGTGCAAAATGCTCAAATTTGCGTAAATTATGCACGGTTCCAGGTTCCGGTTTCTGTATCGCTGTATCGTTGTATCGCTGTATCGCTTTTTAGTAGTAGCCTTGATATACATCGCCAAGTACGATGTCGAAATCAAATCTTAGGATGTCGTGGGCTGGCGATTATTCATCACTACAGGAGTTCGTTGAAGACAAGTTGTGTTCAGTTGGAAAATGGTCATCTATTGGTGGCGAAAAAAAGCAGTTCGAGGGGGGAAATATTGTGATAAATTGGTGGAAAAATAAAAAATATTTGGCAATCTCCGGCGAGAAGGCAAATGATATTGTATGTAGATTAACAACATTGTTTACCGACACTTATATATTCGACGATCATTGCACTGCCACAGTTGATGTTGAGAATCCGATTAACAATAACTGTTCTTGTTTGCGTGTGGAATCTACTGTTGAAACGGAATGCATGAAAAAAAAACTGCAATGTTGTGGAAGCCGCAAATGCTGCAATTAACCCAAATATGACAAATATTGGCGGCCAAATATGCCATTGTAAATGTAAAGAACTGTCCACGGATTTTGAGGGTATAAAACTTGACCTAGTGGTCAATGAAAGGATTATTCTTGATAACACTTCCCGTATTAGCAAGGTCGAAGGTTTATTGGCGAGATTTCAAACCGAAAACGAAGAAATGAAACGCCAATTAAGTAGTTTTGAAGCAAAAATCACTGAGCCGTTAAATCAAACATGCATACATCAAACACTCGAGCCTCATGTTGACCTTGAAAATAATACGAGAGCCTCTAGTTCTTTACAATGTCTGGATAATATGACTGAATTAAAAGAGGCAGAAAGTTTTGTAAGTGTTGAAAACCCGCTTGAAGATGCTTCTTTCAGTGGTGAGGGTCTTGGTAATAATAGCGTTATTGTATGCGAAGTTTTCACTGTTGATGACAATGAAAGATTATTAATAGAAACTGAAGAATTATCTGTTGGTCCAGATAATAAGCGTAACAAAGCCCTAGAAAATTGTTCATTATTAAAAAACCCAAGTTATTTCCATCGTTCAAAAAGCGGCTTATATAGGACAAAGGTCAAAGGCCACGGGGGTCCATCACCTAAACTACATACGCAGCAGAGTAATTTGGTACAGGGTAGAATAGCTAACAACCAACCCATTCCAACTCGAATCACTAGAAGAGAGGAACCGACGAATGATCGACGAAAAACTAGTCTGAGGCGGAAAAAAACAAAATCTTCATGTGAGCAGGTTTTTCGTTCAGAAATCAGACGGAAAGACAAAACGAAATGGTTCAGGTTTTATTACTAGATGATTTCTTATCCCTAAACCTATATAATCATCAACAAACATTAGTAAATGGACAAACAACTAATGCAACAAATTTTAATAACCTAATTTATATTGAAACATCAATGTTCCCAGATAAATCCGAAAGTATAAGCACTCAGGATACAATGTACCTGCATAGTTCCAAGTCTCATCAGGAGCCCCTTAACAGTGTTCCCCAAAGTGGTGAACCCTTGTTTATTCTATCTAATGTAAGATCACTTCTTCCTAAGATTGATGAGTTAGAAACTATTCTGAAAGCAAGTTGTATAAACATGGCCTTTATTACAGAAACGTGGCTGAGTGAAAACATCCACGACAGCGCTGTCGAAATTGATGGTTACTCCCTTGTCAGGCGTGATAGAGTTAACAAGATAGGAGGAGGCGTGTGCGCCTTTATTAAATCATCTATTCCATTTAAATTATTACCCGAACTACAAGACAAATGTTTTGAAACCCTGTGGTTATATTTGAGACCGTATAAACTTCCTCGAGGCTTTTCATGCCTGATAGTATGTGTTATTTATCATCCACCATCCAACGATAATCATGCCTTAGTCGAACACATTATCTTAAGCCTCGATTTAGCCCTTATGAAGTACCCAAATGCAGGAATTTTCCTGGTCGGTGACTTTAATAGATGTCCTGTTTCAGCGTTACTAAGACATTTCGGACTAAAGCAAATTGTCAAAAAACCTACGAGGAAAAATGTTGCCCTGGATCTAATTCTTACGAATATGTCTGCCTGTTGCAACCCTGCATTGGTAACCTCTCCTATTGGACTAAGCGACCATAGCTCTGTGTTATGTACACTTAAAAGAAATCTGATAAAAAACCAGACCAATAAAGTGAAAATTCGACGTAATATATATGCCAACAAGACAGCGTTTGGAAAATGGTTAGCTGATTATAATTGGTCGACTTTGTATCGTACTGTCTCGTGTAAAGACAAGCTAGATATTTTCACGAAAGTTATCAACAGTGGTTTAGATTGTTTCTTTCCGATTAAAATTATCAAACTACATGCTAATGATAAACCCTGGGTAACGCCCGAATTCAAAGAAATCATTAAAGATAGGCAAAAAGCATATCATGACAGGAATATCCAAAAGTACAATTATTTGCGTAACCTAGCCAATAGAAAAAGGAAACAACTGAGGTCCAGCTATCTTGATAAAAAAATGGACCAGCTTAAATCTAATCCTAACCCGCAAAAGTGGTGGGATTGTTTAAAACAATTCGCAGGGTATCCGAAGAGAAAGGCAATATCGTCTATGGTCCTTGACAATGAGATTGTTGTTGGAAATGTTTTAGCAAATAAAACTAACGACTTCTTCATATCAATTACTAATGAAATTACACCTTTACAGCCAAAATCTACAGAAAGTCAGTTCGAGTTTAATGAAAGTAACATTCATCCCCAATTTATTATTGACGAAGAAAGTGTGTATAATAAATTGTCTGATATATGTGTCTCGAAATCGTCAGGTTCAGACGGCATCCCAAATTGGGTACTTAAACATTATGCTTATATCTTAGCCTTACCAATTGCCTCACTTTTTAATGCTTCGATCGATACAGCAACAGCACGTTCCTGCAGTATGGAAAGACGCTGAAGTTATTCCAATACCAAAAATATCGGTACCTGCAGACATAGCAACCGATTTGCGTCCTATTTCATTGACACCCACTTTGTCTAAAATCTGCGAATCGTTTGTATCTGATTGGTTGATTAGTTCAATCAAGAACAAAATTGATAAGAGGCAATTTGGCTCTTTGAAGAATTCCTCAACGACTCATAATTTAATTAGTTTGGTACATCACTTATTAAAGGAAACTGATGCGTCAAAGTGCTCCGTTAGAGTGTTTCTTCTTGACTTTTCTAAGGCTTTCGACCTGATAGACCACAACATTTTGTTGCATAAATTATTGGAATTGAACGTTCCCCCAACTATTTTTAATTGGATTAAAAGTTTTTTAACTGGACGGAGGCAATGTGTGAAGCTGGGTAGTTGGTCTTCGAGTTGGAAAGTTTTAAACGGAGGAGTACCGCAGGGAACTGTTTTGGGTCCTGTTCTTTTTTTGGTTATGATCAACGATCTCCTCGATGAATGGCCCGACCGATGGAAGTATGTAGATGATAGTACGGCTACTGAAAGTGTCATGGTTGATTGTAGCAGTAATCTTCAGGATCTCGTCGACTATATCTATAATTGGACGGTTACAAATAATATGAAACTTAATGTCACTAAATGTAAAGAAATGATCCTTGACTTTGGTAGGGTAAAACGGAATTTCCCAGCATTATTAATCGAGAACACTGAGGTTGAACGCGTAAATTCTGCCCAAATTCTCGGCGTTACGATCCAAACCAAAATGAATTGGAATGAACACGTTAATAAAATTGTTAAGAAATCTGGCAAAAGATTGTATATGCTCAGGTTATTGAAACGAGCCAACGCTGACACTAGAATGTTATCCATCGCATTTACCACTATTATAAGGCCAGTCTTAGAATACGCTTGCCAAGTTTGGCACTTCAACATTCCAGGTTATTTGAGTGATGATATTGAAAGGGTTCAAAGAAGAGCTTTGAAAATGATTTTACCAGAACTTAGCTATAACGATGCACGCGAACTTATTAATATTCCATCCTTGAAGGAACGACGTGAGATTTTATGCGAACAGTTCTTTTTGAGAGATGAGAACCTTCAAAAATTGGATGAATTTTTACCTAATAAATCCTCTTCGGTCTAT